TAATCTTCTTTCGGAAATCATTAGGCCGAAAATTCTAATAAGTAAGTGATTTAAACTGATATTTCAAAGTCACAACAACAAAAGAGTACCGTGAAGCACAACAATACATGCCCCTCCCATGCCACAGAAATATTCAGGATCTATTACGTCAAAATACAATGCAAACAAGGAAAATATAATAATATCAATATAGAACTAGAGGGCTCTAACTCTTTTCCATATTTCAGTCACGGAGAAGGCCAGGATCAGTAAATTTTGTCTGAAAGGCCGTCGCAATAGGCTATGCGTACTGAGCATGTTTAGCCTAAAACAATGCTATATGTTTTGCTGATAAATTTAATCATATCAAGTTTTAAGAAATTGGAGAAATCAAAATGCTGTATGTAATTGTCATCTTCAAGTACCAATGCTGAACTTATTTAAACCGTTACAGTGATTTGGAATTTGGAACTACACAAAACTACACTCAGGAGCAGACAAAATTTGATACGACAAGACATAAGGGTACAGGATTGGACAGACATTGGTAACATTTTATATACACAGAAAACAAAGATACGAAAATACCAAATAAATGTTGACAAACATACCTTATTAAATAACAGTAGATACAAGGTTACATGATCTTAGTTATCATGAATGCAGCAGTCGCACATACCAATCACTTACATCTGAAGGAGTAAATTACTTAAAAATATACACAGTTACATACCTTACAGTATCTTTCCTCTGGTAGAAATATGCAGCATTTCTTCATAGCAATCTTTGTATGCACACTCACATTTCCACTGTTGAAAATATCAGCATCTGAAATGAAGAATGCAGCGAAAATGAAAATTCAAATAAAAAAAAAACGATTTTAAGGTGAAAGTGATTCTGTTTAAGAATGTTTAGTTTATACTTTCTCCATCTTGATTGAATTACATGTACATTTGTAATGCATGCAATAAACAAATTTCTAACAGGCAAAGAAGCATTATCAAAATAAACCTGGTGAGCTCTTCCAGTTTTTAAGCAGATTCTAGACCTAAACGCTGAATGTACACACTAAAGACTGAAATGAGAGCTACCTGTACCTTTTCATTGTAAAAGCTTCTATACTGGTTTCTAGGCTAGTTCATCTACAGTCCAAAACTTCCTCAAGAATAATCTCTAATGATCGCTGATATAGGTAAAGTATACTTACATAAAACCAAGGCAATTTCCCCTTTTAACACTGGCTTGAAACCAATAGACTGAAATGTATAAGAAAGCATCAGAAAGATATAATAGACTGCTGTGTCAGTGATAAATCTACGAGTTCATGAAATAAAGAGGTTTTTTAAAAGAGTAATGAAGGATTAAACAATTATGTTCTGCCCTATCATTTCCATGCCAAAATTTCTTAATACATAATTTCTTCCAGTACTTGTACAAAACGGAAATGCACGAAAAAAAATATATCAATAACAATTGTCTAATGAAAATGTCACTTACGAAAGCAGAACTAAATTGGTTTCAAACAACAAAGGGGCAATAACTCTCAAACAAGAGTACCGCAGGGCGGAACAATATACGCCCGTCCAAAACTATTTTTGTAAAAAACCTTCATATGAAGTCTCAAATTAATAAATGAAAAATTACTGAAGTTATTGAGGGGGAAAACTATTTTGCAAATGTACCAAGGGCCATAACTCTGTGACTAATGGGTGAAAAATGTTAGTTATCCAACTTGACATAGGTTTTATGGTAATAAACCTTCATGTGAAGTTTTCAATTAATCTATAAATAAATTCACGAGTTATCGATCAGAAACCTATTTTGCAAACGTACCAAGGGCCATAACTCTGTAAATAATGGGTGAAAAAATTTGATCATTGAACTTGACCTGACTTTCATGCGAAGTTTCCAATCAATCTGTAAAAAAGTATTCAATTTATCGAATGGAAACCTATGTGCAGTCGGTCGCCCGCCCGCCCGTGTAAAAACATCATGCGTCCCGTCTTTCGACAGGCATATAAAAATGTTGGCCAGCATACATTTGTAATCAAGGAAAGATGAAGCAGGTTATTAAACCAATTGCATCTGTTAGGTTTGTTTGAAAAGGCCAAAGTTTTCGTTAACATATTAAAAAAATGCTAAGGAGATCCAAAGGAAAGCTCCTCAATATGTTTTATTTTATATTTTTTATTTTAATGAAGGAATTTTTTTCTAGTGGTTTACCGGGCTATTGTTAAAGTATATGAAGCAGTAGAAAGTATGAAGTAGCATAATACCTTAATATAATAATTTTGTCTACATCCTTTTCCACTAAAGGCTGAGCACACTGCTAAAAATGACGCTGTGAACCATACAAGGGTACCAAATTGAAATCCGCATTTTCGACATTCAATGTCCGCCTCCATTCTCTAACAATTTGTAAACATCTAAAATATGAAGAGAACTTTTTTAAAAACAAATGACTATCAGTTACGATTATCATGTCAATCGATTTTTATATTTTAACAATTCAACTAAATTGGTGAACTTTTCATCCACATTTTCTGCAAACTGACTAAAATATATAATTTCCGCTCAGCTGGTCTCGAAATACATTCATATATGATTTTTTTTTTTATCAAATCGCAGTTTTCAGTGTATCTTTCATGGCCTAGCAGTTCCATAGGCATTAAAATCAGCCTACTGTCATAAATAATTCCAAATGCGGGAATATACATCTACGTCATTCCCATGTTCATCTTCAGACTTTCCCATTCAGAAACGAAAAATTCCCGCGAGTAATTACAATTTACGGAATATAAACGTATCGAGCTGTAACAAACGAAATAATGTATCGCAGATCATTGCATGAAACTGGTTTATCAGTTCGTTTTGTTTAAGTTTAATGTCCATCAGAATAAAAATAAATGATAAATACATCATATATGGATGTCAATCATAGACCATGCATACGGGTGATTAAAAAACAAAGAGACTGAAAAAGAAAGAAAACACTTGCGTCTTACTCGACATTAATTCTTTCGGAAACCACCCGTCGTACCTTCTACACACTACAGAAGATCCTATGATTTCCGAATGATAGAAAAATTGGTGTTGATACTCGCGTCTAACATTGTTTACACCGAAAATGGCGGACATTCTTCAAACTTGAAAACTGGCCGCTCTGTTTTAGTGGTGATTGTTGAGATAAAACTAATCAAAATCAGGTTTGAGTGGTAGACGTTGCGGCTATCTGCGCCTGTTTGGAATGAGGATATAAGAGGCCTCCGTCTACTGTCAATTGGCCAGCATAGTCAGGTAGAAAGCAATGAGTCGTGATTCAACATGTTTCACAGAATCAGAAAAAATGATCAGATGGCTCGTGCAATGTTACCGTACCTTAAAGATGTTCAGTAATTCCAAATAACGCATGAAAATCAATCAATACACAACATTAATTTCATTCGATTCTTCAGTAGCTGTTCTGTCAAAGCGATATTGTGACTTCTGCAGTAAAAGTGTATCAATTAAGGTACAAATACGATAACATTTATTTAACGTTGAATATTTTAGAGTACACAACATTAGCTATTAAAAAGCTATTCCGACAAACATAGCTAAAACATTGATTTAAACAATAACATGTACAAATGTTAGAAATAGAGATTTAGTTAAGACATAAAAGACCACATATACTTAAGAGTGGAGTATTAATTTTTGTATAAGAAAATACCAGAATGAAAAAAGTAGTAAGAAGCAAAGAACACATGTAAAAATAATAAGTATGACATTTGAATCTCACATAAAGTACAATTAAATAAAAATGAAGAAAAGCTGTGTGATAAATACAATAACAAAGATAAAAGTGTATGTATTAAAGTCTGGCTTGATACGGTACACTCTGTCATACACATTATAGGAACAAATGGAACTATCCCAGGTCTTGACCAGTCTCCTTAATTCATTATATGTACCTAATTTTCTGAGATAATTGGTTTCCATGCTATTCTTACTAAACTAATCAATGAAAAGGTTACAATCTTTTTCTATAATGGATTTTGAATCAGCAGATTCTTATGGTATTATCATCAGAATAGTTATAAAAGAGACAAATCTTCAACACAATCAATTATGTCATTTATAAATATGTTGAAAAGAAGTTGACCCAAGAAAGGGCCCTGTGGAATCCCTTTAAAAATACCTGACCAGCTGCTGCAATTTGGAGTCAACTTCATCTACTGACACCTGTTACTTAGGGAGCTGGAGAGGAAAAACATGCCTGACTAGAATTTGGACCTTTTTCGACTCTCTACCAATTTTTGTATATCATTGAACTGTCATGCATTTATATAGCTATGCATGGAAGTGCTCTTGATGGTCAGAGCTTAACAGGAACTGCCCATGGAAAATCTAGATCTGGACACTTATTTAAAGAGTTAAAAATCTAGAGTTTTCTCCGGCTGCTGTACATTTTCACCAAACATAAGACTTTGATGCATAAAATTTAGTGTAGAAGGACCAGGGTCTGTCAAAATGTCTAATGCCTTCTGTAGGATCCAGAGCAAATGCTTACCACTTGGAAAGTTAAATACAGATATGTTCAGAAAATTTCCACCAAAAAAAGATAATGTAAAGTGATGTAAACAGATATTAGGAATGCCCATTAAAGAAAATTCTTATGCAGAAAAATAAAATATGACAAAATGAGAACTTTTTTAATGAGGTAAACAAAAAATAAAATACCTGTAAGAGTTATAGCTACACTAAGAAAGACTGAATGTATTCCTGGCCTGTTGATGCAGTTACAATCCTGTCTAACGATCATACTATATCATTGAATGGTAATTGTCACCATACAGTAGTATTTTAAGTATGAAATTATTCCCTGTAGGAATACACTGATGATTAAAACCAGAAGAATTTCTTATCCATTACTTACATGAATTTTTGAAAGTCATGCTTTAAATTACTTATATTTCTATGTGGCTTTAACTTATCAAACATGAATGATATCTCAATTACAGCATATATAAAAAAGCAAGATGCCGCCATTGGAATGGGACAAGGTTATGGCGACTGTGCCAGAAAAGATCTCTGAGGATGACTTAGAGGATTTCTATGAAAGCTTTGTCGCAGTAAGTTCTTATAAAGTAAAATAGGTTTGAAATAATTTGATGATATGAAGTGCCTCTTTTAAAATTTTTTTTAAGCTTTTGAAATTTATGCTGTTGAAATGTTTTTATATATTATGAATTCGTTAATGGGGTTTTTATTATTGTGTTTTGTTTGTTTTTTTTTATTAAGTATTTTCAAAAATCGTGCCATTGGTCATATGAAGTGTTGGCAATGTTGGAGATATCTTCAGAAAATTTAACATATTTTGAGACTTCTAATAAAAGGGACTATAAAGAAAACAATTAATTTCTACAGTGAGGCAAGGTATAAAAGGAAAAGTAGATAAATATTGTATCATTAATGTGTATGTGTGTTGCAATACCCATTGATATGAACCAACAAAAGATAAATGGCATTAATGAGACTGTAAATGCCATTGTTACTTGAACTGCTTAAAGACATAAAAATTATGACTTGGGAAAAAATTACCTACTTGGTAAAGGATAATGCTAGCTTAGCAAATAGTTTTGTTCGGTTTGATTAATAACTGTGCATGCAAGATGACATTTACCTCAATGGCTGTGTCATTCATATCAGCAATAGTGCCATATTAAGACAAGTCAATGATTACATCTTACACTAGACACAGAACTAATCCCGATTACATTGTTACATGATTCAGTTTGTTGACGCACAGAGGTTTTGTTTCAGTATAATCCTTCTGAACAGAGTGATCCTGAAAAACTAAGGAAACTGTTTGAAGTCAGCAAAGTTGTGATGAAAACTAAACATGAATCGATTGAAGAAACTATTCAGATGTTTGAAAAAGAAACCGTTGATGCGCAGAAGAAAGGTAAAATCAAACATTAAGAAAGATTTTTTTTTCAGGTGTTTCTAGTTTGAATATTCAGCATACTTATCAAGAACCCTAGCAAAAAAGTACAGCTATTGGTAACATGTTTTATCAAAACATGATTTATGATTTATTATTGCAGTATGCCCTTCTTCTAATCAAACGAGAGTTTCTGACATTCTAATTTTGATTTTCTGTTTTTTTTTTTATAAATTAGTAGGTGAGGGGCGGGAGAAGACTTACATTCAATAGAATTAACCCCATTGTACTCTTTTACTGCCAAGATATATGTCAGTGTAAAATAAAAGGGCGTGGCATTTATGAAGAGACATCTGTGTAATAAAAAAAAAGTGGCTTTGTATCATTATTTTATGGTATGTAAGCAAGGAGCATTAGATTAAGTATATTTTTGTAAACACAAAAAAAGAATATATATTTATCTTGATTTATGAGAGCTGATATACAATAATTTTAAAATGTTATTAAGATAAGGCATATTAATTTGAATTTTATTTTTCCAGCGTAATTTAGAAAATACATATCAAGGTTTTACTGTTTGAAGATGAATGTTCCGTAGCCAGTGGAACCCCCACCCCCATGTTTTAAAAAAGATAATGTTGTTACTATGAGCTCTGACTTTTCAATTTTTACAGAGGAAGCTCAAAATAAAGAAATTGATAAATTGAAGAAGAAGGTTGCAGAACTTGAAGTAAGGCTGAATAATGTGTTATAGCTGTTTTAGAAAGCATATCTGAGGTTCTTTGTTCAATGAGGGGAAAAAATGACTGCAGTGTAACTAGTACATGTACTTTAACTCTGATTACTTTTGATGTCCATGAAGATATTCTTCCAAATGTGCATACAATTTTCCAGATATTTATTTATTTATTTGTTTATTTTTGAAAGATATGCAAGTATATTTAATGTGTAAACTTCATTGCTCTTCATAAATTTTGACAAACGATATTTTTGATCAACTAAGAGAAGTATATTACATATGTACAATTTCAGTCTCAATATCACTCGTTATTATTGGAGAGGGCTGTTTTTGGTAAATCTTCTCTTACTTCATCTGTGTAATTTAATAACTGGTGATGGAATAAGGTCTTACCCTGGATACATTGTCACATTATCCCTCATTTTAACTCAGAAATTTGGTCCGGAGTCTGGTGCTGGAACTGCTCGTGGAACTCAGGGCGCACTAAGAGATCAGGTGACCGACTTGGAGAGAAGACGAGAGGAACTTGAACAGGATGTTAAAGATCTTCAACGAGACTTGGCTAGCGAAAAACGTGCAGCAGAGAAGGTAGGCTTTACTTGCATCAAATATCTTGAGAGATAACTGTACGTGCTCAGAGTTGACTGATGTAAATTGAAATTTTTCTGAATCATTGTTAAAATATAAATCAGGACATGCAATAATCCCACAGTTCAATAGATTTCCTTTATTTTTAGGTGATTTTAAGATAATGCCTAGTAACTGTATAAATTTGAACTTTTCAAATGAATTAGAACATTCAGACAAAAAGTATATTCAGGTTATTACAAATACTGTTATTTTGTTTTCAAATCCTATTAGCTAACTTTGTAATTAATGTAGGATTTTACTTAACAGAAATACTGGAAAACCTTGTGTACCGCCAGCGATGATTAAGTAAAAATAAACAATTTCTGGTTGAATTTTCCTTGCAAAGATTGATGCACAATATCGTATTATAGCAGGCTTGTAAATGGACGCATAAGAAATCTCTTTTTTTTTAGAATTCAGGCAGTATTCTTGTAATAAAATGATCAAAAGCAATAATCAGCTTTGTCAGGTTCCAATAAATTGTAAACTATGTAAATGATAGGGAAGAAAAATTGAAAGTCCATTCACTTATCAATTACTACCTTAATTATTTTAACGATATAAGATATTTTATTTACTCTTTAAAACTCATGTAAATCTTGGCTCACTTTATTAAAGAGTATGATATCTTATAACTCAACAAAAAGATCATCTACTGTGCTGATATTTCTAACATTGTCATTTGTTATCAAATTAAGAAGGTTATTATCTGGTAGACAGACAGACCGACAGACAGACAGACAGACAGACAGACAGACAGACAGACAGACAGACAGACATTCTTTATTTCCTCTTATTACAAGAGATTTTGCCAATCAGTCAATACACAGGTGTGTTACATTTCAATGTATACATAAATATTTTCCCAATCAAACGTTGAAGTCAACTAAATATTATATCAGTGAAACATCAAAATTAGAATTATGCACTCATCTCTCTCACCATTTCATGGAGATTCACTGCCACATTTATCATCAAGTTTTCCAGCTCGTACTCCTGCACTTGTACATAAGATCAATCTCCCAAAATTTATAGATTTTGACAATGTGCAATGCATGTATTTCTAGAAACACAATCTTAAAAATGAAGCTAATTGCTCCTTAGCGAGGAAAGCTTTCGGATACTGTAAAATGTACTTATTTTGGCATTTGAGATTTTAGAACATTGTCACTTTTGAACAGTGACAAATTCACACATTTGCAATAATAAATAATTTGTATGTTTGTTTCAATGAAACACGCAATCTAGTGCAAAACATGTTAAAAATAGATTACCCACTAATATATGTACATTTACATAAGTATTTTGAATGAAGATGTGACATATATTTTTAAAATGCCCTGTATATAAAAGATTTTTAATGTTATATCTTTACAGTATAGCGAGCGAATCAGCGAACTGGAGAAGATACAGAAAGACATGAGAGATGAAGTAAGATTTTTTTAACCTGTCAACTTGGTTTGTATTTAAGATTTGCTGTTATCTGATAGGCATCCCAGTTTTTTTATTCCTAAACTTTGGAGACATCAAATGATATTTGATTATGTGCTATTTAAGTAAATACTATCTATGACTCATGTTGGTTGGTAAAGGTTCCTACAAGCTTGAAACAAGCAAAATTATAAAAGATACTGCAAGAGTTTAAATGATTATAAAGCATAACAAAATAACTAAATGATTAGTTCTCTAAGATATCAGAAAAAATCTTGATTTAAATCGTAAGAATTCAATAAGATAGTATTTATATATCTTAAAATATCTAGCTTTAGTGGAGTGTTTTTGATGTCTGTAGCTGACAATATACTTTTGAGATTTGGAAGAAGAAAAATCAAAGATGCTCCCGAGTTTGATATGATTATGTTGCTAATACAAAAATAAGTATGTAACAATAAAGCATATCTTACAAATTTTTCCCTGTGCTTTATTTCTGTTTCCATTTTCTGCTAACTCTATTCAGATTCTAAAATTGTCGTAGAAATGACCTTGACATGTTGACCTTTTTTGACCTTCAGAATGACCAGCTGCGCCAGGATATCAGTGATTACAAGATGCAGATGCAGTCACAGAAAGATAACTTAGTGTCCAAGCGTGGAGACGAGATTGAGTTCCGAGACAAGTTGATGAAAAAGAATCATGAGATGGCGGAGGCTATGGAGGAGCTGCAGGTATATTGCAAAACCATATTATTTCCGATTGTTGAAATAAAGAAATATAGAAATCATGAAAGTTCCGATTTCTGCTTGTGTGTCAAAATTTTTAACAATCTCTAAGGTATTTTTTTAATATCAGGTTTGTTTATCGCAAAATTATATCCTGACCCAGCATTTCAATATTTCCGCATAAACCTGAATGTTTGTTTCAGAATCTGACAGATGCTAACGAGATGTATGCCAAGAAGATCGAGGAGCTGGAGCAGAGGATGAAGGAAGCCATACTCGACATGGATCGTACTCGGGAGGACAATCTCAAATTAAGGGTTCGTATTTAATTTTAGAATTTTAGAATTTTTCAAAGTAATTAATCAAAGATTTTATTGAATTAAATTTTATAATGGGTAGATTTATATTGATCATCAATAATTGTTTGTTTATTTTATAATATTCTTACTTGAATCAAAGCTGATTAAGGGGGGCTAACTCTAGAAATTTTATACATTGTACCTGATTATAAATTTCAAATACTTTGAATAACAATAATTGAATCTTGATTCCTAATTTATAATGATTCTGAGTTTTCACACTTACTTTGAATAACAATAATTGAATCTTGATTCCTAATTCATAATGATCCCGAGTTGTCACACAGGATTTCTATGTATATATATATTTTTTTTTTGTCAACTCCATTTTATCTTTCTTTTTTTTCTAAAGAAACAAAAACTGTATGAGACACTACAGGAAAATGTTTATGCAATTATTTAATATGATTCTTGTAAGTTTTGTTCATAGGCCACTACAGATTACAGTTACCTATAATGAAATCCACAGATCTTTTCCTTTCACGTTATCATATTGATATTTTGTTTGTACAGAATACCCTTCAGGAGATTGACAAAGATACGGACAAGGTGCGCAAGGAAAACGAAGTGCTTAAAGCCCAGGTAAGAGAAATATATAAAGTTATAGTTATAAGGTTCAACAAACTGCTTATCCATTTCAGTTCATATCATGCTCATTTGTGCAGAAAAATTTTCCTTTAGTAGTTAAAAAATTCAAAATTAAGCTTTTGTATGTTTTTTTTTATCAAGAAATTGATTATCGTACTTTGAAACTTTCGGAAAACAGATTTTAATCCGAATTTGTTTATGATTTAGAGAAAATTGAATATGTCTCAATATAAGACAAAAATTCATCAAAATACTTACATATTAACTTCAGTCAAATTGAAGTCGGTCAGTAAGGGTGAATTCTGTCATATCGTCATCAGTGGAGTCTTGGGTCTAAGACTCTTGTCTGAAAACCTGTATTTGTGCAGGACAATAGATATCTAAGTCTTAGAATCAGTCATAACAAGCAAAGAAGCAAGGACCTTTAATCCATCACTTTGTCTTAAAGTTTTTACCTAGGAATCCAACTTCTTTCAATAAACTTTCAAATTCTGGGATGATATATATAAAAGATTGTAACTTCTCCAAAAAAGTTGCACTTTATTTGACCTTGGACTTGTGTTATGTTTAATATCTTAATGTGTCTTTTGATTATACTTAAGTGACACATATAGCTCTTTTTTTATCAGATTTAACTTTTTCAGGTGCAAGATCTTAATGAACAAGTGCAGTCAAAGACCGATGCTGATGATGCCATCATGGTGGCTGTCAACAACAAAATAGAAGAGTGGAAGGTTTGTTGTAAAATCAATATTTCATCTTTATCTAGATTCAATAATTTCTCATTCTGAGAGTAATCTTGTTTTTCCAACATAACTTCAGAAGCAAAAATTCTCTTATTGAATTTAATGTTGTGTAAATCACAATAAGTCCTATTTTATAGATAAGTTATATATTTCCTACAGTTTCGTAAAAAATCAATATGTAAAAAGAATATTTTTTGAAATGAGAGTAAACAGTTGATAAATATAAACATCATTCCTTTCAATAACATGCTAAGATATAGCCAAGGTATGATATGTAGATTTGATGTTGATTACAAACTTTTTTAAGGCTATTTTACCAGAGAAAGTTGAAAGCTTTATTTGGATTTCAAATTTTGTAGGCTGTTCTATCAGAGAAACATGAAAATTTTATATATGACACATATTTTTTCAGGCTGTTCTATCAAAGAAACATGAAAATTTTATATATGACACAAATTTTTTCAGGCTGTTCTATCAGAGAAACATGAAAATTTTATATATGACACAAATTTTTTCAGGCTGTTCTATCAGAGAAACATGAAAATTTTATATATGACACATATTTTTTCAGGCTGTTCTATCAGAGAAACATGAAAATTTTATATATGACACATATTTTTTCAGGCTGTTCTATCAAAGAAACATGAAAATTTTATATATGACATGACACATATTTTTTCAGGCTGTTCTATCAGAGAAACATGAAAATTTTATATATGACACATATTTTTTCAGGCTGTTCTATCAGAGAAACATGAAAATTTTATATATGACACATATTCTTTCAGGCTGTTCTATCAGAGAAACATGAAAATTTTATATATGACACATATTTTTTCAGGCTGTTCTATCATGAAAATTTTATATAGAAACATGAAAATTTTATATATGACACAAATTTTTTCAGGCTGTTCTATCAGAGAAACATGAAAATTTAAGTATATGACACATATTTTTTCAGGCTGTTCTATCATGAAAATTTTATATATGACACAAAAGAAACATGAAAATTTTATATGAAAATTTTATATATGACACAAATTTTTTCAGGCTGTTCTATCAAAGAAACATGAAAATTTTATATATGACACAAATTTTTTCAGGTCATTTTATCAGAGAAAGACGAAGCCATTGTTGAGTTTCAAGAGCAGGCGATCCACCTGAGAGAACAGCTCATTGCAGCAAATATGGATGCAGATAAGGCTTCGGTGGCCGCACTGACTACCGTTATTAAGGAGAAAGACAAACAGATTGAGGAACTTACGGAGAAAATAAAGGCCTATGTTGACGAGATGGAAGCAAACACAGCACTGGTGGAAGACCTGAGGAAAGAACTCACTAAATGTAAATCTTACCGCAATATATGTGCTGTGTGAAAAATGTTTGGTGACACCTAGTAATTAACATAGAACAAAAATCGGAGAAGCTCTGATATGGCCTTTATATCTAACATGTTTTCTTTTATTTAAATTTTCAATATAAATATGAAATGATATTTAAAACCTATTGTTCTTAGACAATGATAGACAGAATCATTTATGAAATACAATATATTGTTCAATTTTGAGATATAATTTATATATGATAAGTTTGAAACATCAAAATGAAAATGTAGAAAAGTTTTGAGCCTTAGAGGATGCTATTTTCATGCTATTTTTGGAGAGGGGAGGGGGGAATGAAGGATTTCAACTTGTTCAATTGTTTCGTGTTGATTTTCCAATGTTATAGAAATAATATTTTGTTCCTGGTCCAGTATGGATCTAATGGATAGCATGGATCTTGAGCATTTCAGCCTATAATTGATAGTATTTTGTGTATCATAAATATATTTTATACATGAAGAAAATTGATTTTTTTACGAAATTGATGCAAAGAAAAGTGGTTTATTTTTTATTGTGTCGGGTCTTTTTGATAGCTGGGGCAGGACCAGGTGACCGACAACTACACCGAATTAAGGAGCTACAAACTGACCTAGAGTATGAACGAAAGAAGTTATCTGAAGTCAATAATGACATCAAAGTGGTGAGGAGATGTGATGATGTACCAATTTTTGGTTCTAATTTTAGAAATCAGGATTTTAGAAAAATTATAAAAGGAGTTTTGATCAGTATTTTAACAAGTTCATTAAAAAAAAAATAAAACAAACAAAAAAATTTCTATTATGAAAACAGTTGTTTTTTGTTTTAATGAATAGAATATATATTTTATTGCAGAAATTTTTTTCCTTCCTTTTTTTCAGTTTAGAGAAGTTGCTTTGAAAATTTCAATGTCTAATTTCTATGTTTTGTTTTTTTTGTAGGCGGAAAGAGATGCAAGAGAGAAAGACAAAGAACTCAGTGATGCTTTGGAACGGATGAGAAAGTATGAGGCTGTAAGTAGATAAAAAACAGATAGAAATTTTCTTCTGCTTTCTAAATATCTGTTATTTAGCACTGATAGTCATTCATACCTCATTAGAATTGATCAGAATTAGAAATTTATATAAAAAAGCAAAATCTGTTCTGATGTTGATTCAGAAGTCTTAAGATGAATTATAAACAACATTTATTAAAATTAGATATTAAAAACTTCAAAAATATTCTTGTTCATAAAGGTCAACAATTTTCTCTGAAAGAGTTATAAGCATAAAAATGCCTGGCACCTGTTGCTTAAAGCTTGTTTAGTAACTACCAGTAATTAGTGAAAATTTTGTAAATTGTTGACACTAAAAAAAAAAGATTTCCAAACTGACATTGACGTTCTATCAATATCATTTTGACCTGTCTCAAGCTCTAAAATGTTACGGAATATTTGCTTTTTTGTAATATTCATATTTATATATTTTCACTTACCATTGCTAGCGTGTAACCAAGTTTTGAGCAACTGGCACCTTAGATATTTTTTTTTAAGTTTTTAATGGTATTCTAGAAAAAAACAATGATGTGATAAATATGAATTTTTGATGATAGCTGTTAGTAAAGATTTGTGTGTATTTTTGTGAATTGGAGAGAGGCAAATCCAGACCTTTGTTACCACATGTCAGTAAATGCAATTATTCGAAAGTTGAATGATATTTATATGTATGTTTCCCACTTGCAGGGAGAGTATGGATTGGCTGAAGCTGTCGCAGAAATCAAGGAAGGCAAGAATCAGATCAAAGTTAGAGACAGGTAAAAATATATTTCTATCATCAATTTCAAAAATATTTTTAAAAGAAACTTTTGTATTTCATTATCTTCAAAACTGAAAAAGGTAAATATGAGGTAATTGTAGATTAACATCTATTTTTTTTTTTTTTTAATTTCTGAAATTTTGGCAGAAAATAGTCTCAACAAAGTAAAATAGCTATTACATCATGATTATAATGCTTAGGAATCATTGACATTCATTAAAAATTGAAATGATGTCAATTTGGAAAGTTTGTTTTTAACTATAATATTTTGTGTATGCTTTTATAGACAAATTGAGGAGCTTACGCAATACATAAACAAAGTTGAAATGAAGATAAATGACATGGAAGAGGAGAATGAAGACCTCCGTTACAGACTTGGACTTGACCCTCGGGAGCCTCTTGACCTCACACAGTTTAGGAAAAATAAGGCTACCAGGAAAGAAGAAGAGAAAGCCCTAAACTTTATATTGCAACAGGAGGTATGTTCTGAGCTGCAGTAGAGACTTGTAATGAATCTAGTGAGGTTCAGAAGATTTTCTTATTAAGAGAAATTCCCTTCTTAATGGTAACATTCAGAAGTAAATCTAGAGGGGTTCAGAATATGTGTTGGTTAGGGATATCCCTTCTCAGTTGTAAATGTCTTTTATAAATTTGGAGGAGTTCAGAATCTGTTACTTAGGGATATCCCTTCTGAATTGTAATAGTTTGTAGTGAATCTAGAGGGGTACAGTCAGTTTGTGATATCTCTCCTGAATGGTAATAGTCTGTAGTAAATCTAGAGGGGTTCAGTCAGTTTGTGATATCTCTCCTGAATGGTAACAGTCAGTTGTAAATCTAGAGGGGTTCAGTCAGTTTGTGATATCTCTCCTGAATGGTAATAGTCAGTAGTAAATCTAGAGGGGTTCAGTCAGTTTGTGATATCTCTCCTGAATGGTTACAGTCAGTAATAAATCTAGAGGGGTTCAGTCAGTTTGTGATATCTCTCCTGAATGGTAATAGTCAGTAGTAAATCTAGAGGGGTTCAGTCAGTTTGTGATATCTCTCCTGAATGGTAATAGTCTGTAGTAAATCTAGAGGGGTTCAGTCAGTTTGTGATATCTCTCCTGAATGGTTACAGTTAGTAATAAATCTAGAGGGGTTCAGTCAGTTTGTGATATCTCTCCTGAATGGTAACAGTCAGAAGTAAATCTAGAGGGGTTCAGTCAGTTTGTGATATCTCTCCTGAATGGTTACAGTCAGTAGTAAATCTAGAGGGGTTCAGTCAGTTTGTGATATCTCTCCTGAATGGTTACAGTCAGTAATAAATCTAGAGGGGTTCAGTCAGTTTGTGATATCTCTCCTGAATGGTAATAGTCAGTAGTAAATCTAGAGGGGTTCAGTCAGTTTGTGATATCTCTCCTGAATGGTAATAGTCAGTAGTAAATCTAGAGGGGTTCAGTCAGTTTGTGATATCTCTCCTGAATGGTTACAGTTAGTAATAAATCTAGAGGGGTTCAGTCAGTTTGTGATATCTCTCCTGAATGGTAACAGTCAGAAGTAAATCTAGAGGGGTTCAGTCAGTTTGTGATATCTCTCCTGAATGGTTACAGTCAGTAATAAATCTAGAGAAATTCAAAATATGCAAATTTTCCATTTCTTTTTCTATTAGATCAAAATTTCTTATCAAAATGTTAAATGAAAACTGTTTGATTTGAGTAAACAAATCACACTATTACAATTTAATACATTTTTAAGGATATTTTACAAGGTCTGAGAATATATGGTGTATATTTCTATCTTTAGGTGGAAAAACTGGAAGATGAAAGAGTAGTCTTAAAGAAAAAGATCAGGAAACTCGCCCAACATACAGGACAGAGGTACAAGTTACTCCGCTTATAATGAAGGTTTTAATGTATCTTATTTAACCAAGGTGAATTTACACATTGATGAAATTTGCACCAGCAGTTTATCTTACATACAGCATATTATAAAAACTGCAGTAAATGTTAATAGATATTGTTGCAGTGGGTTTATTTCAATCTATCAATCAAAAATGCTTTAAAAAGTAGTGCTACCATTTCTCTGCTATTAGTCATTTTCTAGACTTTTGAAAGCAGTATTGTGTAATTATGATGGTGATTTTAAAAAACCCACAGAAATCATCTTAGTACAGTTATTAATATAAGCTCTAAGATTTTTTCCCAAATGCAATATATGTTTGTGTAATATTCTTGAATTATTGGATTAAATATTGTCTGAACTGAACCAATTTCCCCTCAGTATTATCCTTTGTCATTTAGAATAATGCAAATGTACAGAATTCATAAGAAGTTTAATTTCTTCCATGTTTTAGGGCGGTAGCACTGGGTTTAACTGCAGATGACATGATGGCTGTGGCAGACTTTCAGGAGGAGCTCAAGGCAACTCGGGTCAAACAGGCAGAAGCCACTTCTACGGGCGCTCAGATAAAACGGGAGGTGGAGAGTGAAGAAATGGAAATGAGAGTGAGTTTCTCTATCAAACATTTCCTCTGTGATTGAATAAAAAGGGTTGATTTTAATTATTTCTTATTCTCAGAATAAATAGCTCAAGCTCAATTTGAAAGTCAATCCCACACAATTCAACATTATAAAATACAGCAAACCCCCGTGGGATTATCTCCTTCACCACACCAGTCCCCTTCTTATCAATAAAAACTGTGTCGCCAATGTTGATCTGGTCAGCCATATTTTACTACAGTTTGTTGTCGTAGTAAATAAAAGTAGTACGCGCGTGGGCGTATGAATACGTTCACACGGTTTTGACCAATCAGCAGACCCCAAACCTTTATTACACGTGTGTATTACCATTATTATGACATGGGCGTATGACATGGGAAAACGGGTCAGTTATGTGATGAGAAATCTACACTAGACAATTTATTTGATTTAAAAAAAAGAAGTGCAATCAACATACAAAATAAACTTTTTTATTAAAAAAAACAAACAAAATTGCTTTACGATGAAAATGGTGAGTTTTTATAACAGGACTTAAGTGTCATCTTTTTGTTACAGCACAGGGAAGCTGGAGATGAGTTTCGGGAGAATATGAGAGAGATGGACAAACTATACAGGGAAAATGCAGAGTTCAAAGTCAAGGTTGATCAACTGGAAACTGAAAATAGACAACTTGAGGCTGGACTAAAGGAGGTCCTAGAGAATCTACAAAAGTATAAACCTGGTAGGTGGTCAAAAAATTGTGACTGTTAATTAAAACAAAAATTCTGCGGAACAAAACTTAACTTCTGATTACACGTTTACATTCTGAAACGTATATATATCATAGAACAATGCCTAGTTGAAATTTTATTCATAAACGTATTTGTTTACAGATGAACAGGGTTTGGAAGATCAGGTGATGCAGTTTCCTACATTAGAGAGAATGCTTGCGGTAAGTGTTGTAAAGGCTATGGTTTTTATGGTTCTAAATTTAGCACTTTTGTCCAGAATTTTGATACAAACTTTTTGGATATGCTAAGTTTCTTTGTTATCATTTCACTGTCTGTTCTGTTGTTTTAAATAGTGTTTATTGTGGTTTTTAAAAATAACACCCAAGGGAATTTTATTTATATGCAGCTGATATTGAAAACAATTCAGTGATCAATTTCTAGTTATAGCAATACATGAAGCATGAACTTAGGTGTAGGTACTATTAGTCTGTGCTTTAAGTAAGTGTTACCACGTCCAATTTTAGTATATAGCTATTAGTGTTATTCAAGGAGTTGAAATTGTTACAACATATTATTGAATTTTGAAAATAGAGGTTGCTATATTTTCTTTTAAATATGGTATTTAGAATATCTATATATAGATTGTTGATAATTGGTTTTTCAATAAATTAAGGAGAGTCTTATTTTGTAATTTCTTGAAGAAATGTGATGAAATTGGAATGTCAGATATTACAAGATGTCAATATAATTATACATGTATACATTTGAAGTTTACATGGGTTTTCAGGCTATTGAAGCCAAGAGTGTGATTGGCAAGTATGACACATCACTTTACCTGAAAGCACAGGTAGATAATCTCCAAGGACGTAATGATGAGATCCGTGGAGAACTTCGCGAGACTCGACATGAAGCCAACAAAGCGAGGATGGAAGTTGAGAAAAGCCTGGAGAAGGTATGGTCTTTATTAGATATTACTATTTTTCTGGGTTTTTCTATATTAGATGTTCTTAATGACAAAACTTTTTTAACTTTTAAGTATTTTGGATAAAAAATATCAAGGATTAATGTTGACTTTTAAATAAATTTGTCTAAATTTGAAAATGAATTATTTTTTGTACTGATTAGTTTATTATTTTTTGATTGAAACTGAAAAAATTAAATCTATCAATTTTTGTTTTCTTTGTTTTTTGTTAGAAACAACAAAATAGACGATATGTAATTAAATAAAAAACAACAGCTCAAACTTTCTAAAGTAAATTCTTGTCGAAGGGACATAACTCTTATATACAGCAAGAATAAAATTGGGCAAAATGATTTGATATTTACCTACTTTCTAAAATGCTGTCTATAGGGAAATTTAGAACCATTTAAACTTTGTAACTTTACTGTAAATTTGTCATGAGAGGAAAGGACACAAAGTAGTCAAAAAAAGGCAATGAAATATGACTTCACTCTCATTTTTCTAAGACATTGAAAAATCTTAGAAAACAAGAAATCAAACTTAATTATAACCAATTGACATGGATGGATTAATCATGAATATACCAGTGTTTTTTGCACCTCGATTTAACAGCCTGTGCCTTGATAAATTGGGAAAATTTAGAAGGGATGGTTTTTGAAAAAATATTCTTGGATTTTTCTTCATTTTGATCATATAACTCAAATTTTGGCGAGGGGAAACAGTCTTTTTATGGCTGCAAAACGGAGCATAAAAACACTGTATACATTCACAGACTTTAGTTTGTGTTTATAACTGCTATTGAGAAAAGTTAGTTTAAGTTTAAACAAACCAAAATGAAAAATACTACATTTTCTTCACAACAATGCTGTTGAAATGTGAAAAGTTTAAAATTTAACGTGTTGATATTTTGATGAGAATGAAAAATCCTGGAGAATTCCTTATGTTTTTTTGTTGTTTTTTTTTTTCTTTCAAAACAAAAACAATGAAATAAGGATGATTTTTATTGATGCAGATCGACCAGCTGGAGGCTGATCTAAAAGCGGCTAAAGAAGCTGGTGGTGGACCAGGTGTGTTCCAGAAACTACCTCTCCCAGATTCCATGGCCATCACCAGTTCAGAGGTCATTTCCAGTCTTAACGAACATCTGATTACTGTGCTACAGGTGAGATTCTGATTATTAAAGTCCCTATCATAAAATCACTGGAATTATGAAAAAAACTTTTCAGCATAAAACGTATGCTTTTTATATTTAACCTTGGAAAAAATAACAACAAAAATACAAAATCTCTGTTTTAACATTTCCTCTCAAACTTGTGATTTGTTGAAATTTGTGACCTTGACATTATTAAAATATGATCTTGACCTTGTTTTAGGAATTATCCTTGAAGGAAGCTTGCATGAACAAGATGGAGACTGCATTGGAAAATTACAAACGAAAATTTGCTGTCCTCCGCCACCAGCAGGGACTCATGTATACAGACTACATAAAGGACAAAAAGGTCGCTGTCAAAATCTAAATCTTATTGTTAGATAGAGAGGAATTATATATAGTATATTTGATGTACTGTAGGACCATTAATTTTCACATTTGTATGTGTGGGGAGGGGATGAAGGATGAAGATTTTAATCATTGATAATTCGTATGTGGGATTTTAAGTGTACATTAAATATTAATTATAAAAATGGACTGAATAAAAAAAGTTACAGGATTACATTCAGACATATCTGTTAATGAACCATTGAATTACGTATCACTGCATGAAACTCTTGTTAAAATTTATAATGGGATATTAATGTCCATATTCAGCAGAGGTCTTATTGTAAGCCGAAGATTTGGGTGCCTTTCACTGTAAACTGTGTCCATATTCAGCAGAGGTCTTATTGTAAGCTGAAGATTTGGGTGCCTTTCACTGTAAACTGTGTCCATATTCAGCAGAGGTCTTATTGTAAGCCGAAAATTTGGGTGCCTTTCACTGTAAACTGTGTCCATATTCAGCAGAGGTCTTATTGTAAGCTGAAGATTTGGGTGCCTTTCACTGTAAACTGTGTCCATATTCAGCAGAGGTCTTATTGTAAGCTGAAGATTTGGGTGCCTTTCACTGTAAACTGTGTCCATATTCAGCAGAGGTCTTATTGTAAGGCGAAGATTTGGGTGCCTTTCACTGTAAACTGTGTCCATATTCAGCAGAGGTCTTATTGTACGCTGAAGATTTGGGTGCCTTTCACTGTAAACTGTGTCCATATTCAGCAGAGGTCTTATTGTAAGCTGAAGATTTGGGTGCCTTTCACTGTAAACTGTGTCCATATTCAGCAGAGGTCTTATTGTAAGCTGAAGATTTGGGTGCCTTTCACTGTAAACTGTGTCCATATTCAGCAGAGGTCTTATTGTAAGCTGAAGATTTGGGTGCCTTTCACTGTAAACTGTGTCCATATTCAGCAGAGGTCTTATTGTAAGCTGAAGATTTGGGTGCCTTTCACTGTAAACTGTGTCCATATTCAGCAGAGGTCTTATTGTAAGCCGAAGATTTGGGTGCCTTTCACTGTAAACTGTGTCCATATTCAGCAGAGGTCTTATTGTAAGCTGAAGATTTGGGTGCCTTTCACTGTAAACTGTGTCCATATTCAGCAGAGGTCTTATTGTAAGCTGAAGATTTGGGTGCCTTTCACTGTAAACTGTGTCCATATTCAGCAGAGGTCTTATTGTAAGCGGAAGATTTGGGTGCCTTTCACTGTAAACTGTGTCCATATTCAGCAGAGGTCTTATTGTAAGCGGAAGATTTGGGTGCCTTTCACTGTAAACTGTGTCCATATTCAGCAGAGGTCTTATTGTAAGCTGAAGATTTGGGTGCCTTTCACTGTAAACTGTGTCCATATTCAGCAGAGGTCTTATTGTAAGCCGAAGATTTGGGTGCCTTTCACTGTAAACTGTGTCCATATTCAGCAGAGGTCTTATTGTAAGCCGAAGATTTGGGTGCCTTTCACTGTAAACTGTGTCCATATTCAGCAGAGGTCTTATTGTAAGCTGAAGATTTGGGTGCCTTTCACTGTAAACTGTGTCCATATTCAGCAGAGGTCTTATTGTAAGCCGAAGATTTGGGTGCCTTTCACTGTAAACTGTGTCCATATTCAGCAGAGGTCTTATTGTAAGCCGAAGATTTGGGTGCCTTTCACTGTAAACTGTGTCCATATTCAGCAGAGGTCTTATTGTAAGCCGAAAATTTGGGTGCCTTTCACTGTAAACTGTGTCCATATTCAGCAGAGGTCTTATTGTAAGCTGAAGATTTGGGTGCCTTTCACTGTAAACTGTGTCCATATTCAGCAGAGGTCTTATTGTAAGCTGAAGATTTGGGTGCCTTTCACTGTAAACTGTGTCCATATTCAGCAGAGGTCTTATTGTAAGGCGAAGATTTGGGTGCCTTTCACTGTAAACTGTGTCCATATTCAGCAGAGGTCTTATTGTAAGCCGAAGATTTGGGTGCCTTTCACTGTAAACTGTGTCCATATTCAGCAGAGGTCTTATTGTAAGCCGAAAATTTGGGTGCCTTTCACTGTAAACTGTGTCCATATTCAGCAGAGGTCTTATTGTAAGCTGAAGATTTGGGTGCCTTTCACTGTAAACTGTGTCCATATTCAGCAGAGGTCTTATTGTAAGCTGAAGATTTGGGTGCCTTTCACTGTAAACTGTGTCCATATTCAGCAGAGGTCTTATTGTAAGCTGAAGATTTGGGTGCCTTTCACTGTAAACTGTGTCCATATTCAGCAGAGGTCTTATTGTAAGCCGAAGATTTGGGTGCCTTTCACTGTAAACTGTGTCCATATTCAGCAGAGGTCTTATTGTAAGCCGAAGATTTGGGTGCCTTTCACTGTAAACTGTGTCCATATTCAGCAGAGGTCTTATTGTAAGCCGAAGATTTGGGTGCCTTTCACTGTAAACTGTGTCCATATTCAGCAGAGGTCTTATTGTAAGCCGAAGATTTGGGTGCCTTTCACTGTAAACTGTGTCCATATTCAGCAGAGGTCTTATTGTAAGCCGAAGATTTGGGTGCCTTTCACTGTAAACTGTGTCCATATTCAGCAGAGGTCTTATTGTAAGCTGAAGATTTGGGTGCCTTTCACTGTAAACTGTGTCCATATTCAGCAGAGGTCTTATTGTAAGCCGAAGATTTGGGTGCCTTTCACTGTAAACTGTGTCCATATTCAGCAGAGGTCTTATTGTAAGCTGAAGATTTGGGTGCCTTTCACTATAAACTGTGTCCATATTCAGCAGAGGTCTTATTGTAAGCTGAAGATTTGGGTGCCTTTCACTGTAAACTGTGTCCATATTCAGCAGAGGTCTTATTGTAAGCTGAAGATTTGGGTGCCTTTCACTGTAAACTGTGTCCATATTCAGCAGAGGTCTTATTGTAAGCTGAAGATTTGGGTGCCTTTCACTGTAAACTGTGTCCATATTCAGCAGAGGTCTTATTGTAAGCTGAAGATTTGGGTGCCTTTCACTGTAAACTGTGTCCATATTCAGCAGAGTTCTTATTGTAAGCTGAAGATTTGGGTGCCTTTCACTGTAAACTGTGTCCATATTCAGCAGAGGTCTTATTGTAAGCTGAAGATTTGGGTGCCTTTCACTGTAAACTGTGTCCATATTCAGCAGAGGTCTTATTGTAAGCGAAAGATTTGGGTGCCTTTCACTGTAAACTGTGTCCATATTCAGCAGAGGTCTTATTGTAAGCTGAAGATTTGTGTGCCTTTCACTGTAAACTGTGTCCATATTCAGCAGAGGTCTTATTGTAAGCTGAAGATTTGGGTGCCTTTCACTGTAAACTGTGTCCATATTCAGCAGAGGTCTTATTGTAAGCTGAAGATTTGGGTGCCTTTCACTGTAAACTGTGTTTGATTTGTCAAAGTTCTTATTTAGATTTGTATTATACATCAAAAAACCACGGTTCGTTTGTCACAGGAATGGGAGAAGGAGACGGAATCAATGATACAACAGATGAAAACATTATCCGCTACACAAGAGGAAGATAAAGTCAGAATTCAGGAGTTTGATGTAAGATTTTTATACTGAGAACATCATTTCAGGAATTAAAACAATCACTATTTGTTATAAATTTTCAACTGAACGCAACGAGTTTATCACACTTTTATCTTCTATACTTGTCTTGTATTTATTGCGTATGTGTATCAGTGTGTGTCAGTGTGTGACAGTGCGTGTCAGTGTGTGTCAGTGTGTGTCAGTGTGTACATCAGTGTTTGTGTCCGTGTGTGTGTGTGTGTCAGTGTGTACATCAGTGTGTGTCAGTGTGTGTGTGTCAGTGTGTACATCAGTGTGTACATCAGTGTGTACATCAGTGTGTGTGTCAGTATGTACATCAGTGTGTGTAGGTCATTGTGTACATCAGTGTGTCAGACTTTCCCAAACTGAAGGATTTGATTTTGAGGTTCAACACTCAACAAAAGAAAAAAACACATTAGTCTACATGTATATAAAGTGGATGATTGATAATGGTTATCTGTATATATTTGTTCTCAGAGAATGATAGACACACTATCTAAGGATGAACCAGAGGTACGGAGACGTCTTTCTGAAATGACTCGGAGGATCACTGTTTTACGTGTCAACGAGAAAGCATTGACTCGAAGATATAACATATCTGAAGAGGTGGAATCACAACTAAGGAAGGTATAGAATTATTTTGATCACATGGTACAGTAGTAAGACTTGATAAAGAAAGAAAAGTTGAAGGCTTATCGGTTATTCTTGCCTTGAATTAGTGATATTAATACTAATGTTTGATTTTAAAAGTGAAATATTTGTTTTTAAGATATTATTTGTCAATTTGTGGAAAAAAGGTTCATTTATGTTAAATTTGAAAGATAAATTTATGTTGAGATTTCTTGGTTTTGTGACAAATATTGATTAAGAAACATAATTGTGACAGGAAATCAATCACTACAAGAATGAGATGGCATCAATGGAAACATCGGTATCGGAAAGACTTGGATACCTTCAGAGATTCAAGGTAACAACAGTGTTCAGTTATACTCCAGTAACGTCAGAGGTTTACCTGGCGGAACTTTTTCGTCAAACATTTTTTAACAAACAGCATAATTATTTTCAATGATAAATTGGACACCTAGCAACCTCTTCTGTTACAGGAGAATACTCAATCCTTGATAAGAATTCACCATTATCAATTTTTTTTAAATATTAAATTTCTGGCAGAAATTTTCTTAAGAAATGTGAATTGAAATTTAACAATTAAATGTCATGAAATTTCTTACTATACTGAGGTGTCGTATCCTTTAAACATACTTTGTAGATCTTGGTATTCTCAGAGATTTAAATTTATTATATTTGAATTTCTTACTTTAAGATAACATGAAATTAAATATTCTATCAATATTTTTTGCCTAAAAGTATACTTTATGATCATTGGCCAGCATTTTGGTCCTCTTGTAGACTAGCTGAAAGAAACACTTGAAAGTAATGCATATGTATTTTGTCATTAGTTTGAAATGCAGAAATGATGACTAAAGTGTATGGCAAATCATTGGCTGATGACACGGTAGTGTCATGTATGAATCTGATCGTGTGTAAACTAAATATGACATGAATTATGTCATGATCGTTCCAGTTGATTTATGATAGCAGTCTAGATATTCAAAGAATAACTAAACAAAGGGAAAATCACTGCGAAAAATAAATAAAATTAAATTTTTTTTGTCTTCAAACAATTTCCGTTAGAAACAAGTCAGTTTGGGACTTCAGGCCCCACTTGTATAAAACATTTCAACTTGAGATTTCCTCAAGTTGAGATGTTTTATACAAGTGGGGCCTGAAGATTAACTTCTAAGTTTAGACATCTGGAAAAAATGTGTCAATTGTTAATGTCACATTCTGCTTATTATCATATTTTCCCATGACAAATGGAACATGATATTAAGAGGGTTTCACTGTACAAATTATGATGCAGCAAACATTGAGATGCACAGAGTAGCTGTTTCCATTTTAACATATCAAAAAACTTTTATATTGATTGAAAATATCTTCACTTTTCTTGATTTCATATTTCTATTGACCTTTCATTTTGACAGGATATGGCCACTTTCAAGATCTCTGCACTGCAGAAAGCTTTAGAAGACTCTGTACCTGCTGACGACCTTGAACTTACCAATAAGAAATTCCACCAGCTGACTGAGAAATATCGAGATGGCTTGGAGAAGGAGAACAGTCTGGTTTCCAAAGCCGATGTTATTACAGGGCTAGAGGTAAGGGTCATTTGTTATCAAGGTTGCATGGTTTGTATACTGGACTAGAAATACAGGTTAAATGGGGTCAAGGTCACAAGGCTGACATTACAGGACTGAATGTAAAGACAACAAAGAGTAAAGACAACAAAACTGATATTATAGAATTAAAGTATGGGTGACATGGGGTCAAGGTCATAATGTTGACATTAGAGGACTGAAGTTACGGATCATGTAGGGTCACAAGGCTAAGACTGGAAAGATAAAAACTGTAATCACATGGTTTATCTAAATCCAGGATGAAGTTAAACGCCTGACAGAGGACAATGATGTTCTCAAGAAAACTCTGGAAATGGAGAAAGAGAAACTACATTCCCTTGAAGCAGCCATGGAGGATCTTCATAGAAGAGGTGAGTTGGAGCAAGGAATGAGAGACTCATTTCTGTCGTTAGTTCACTCTGTTTAGGAGGTATTTCATTGATTCTGTCATATAGACATGGTACTTGACTTTATTTTTGAAAAATTATAAATTCATTCAATTATGTGGCTAGTGCACCTCATAATCTGGATTTTCACATTTCTTTACATCAATTTTGCCTCCAAGGTTTCAAAATAATAACCCATTGAACCTTTGACAGACCTTAGGAAAACAAAACAGCTACCAGATGCAGTTTAGTGAATTATCTGCTACTGTCTAATTCTAAATTCATATTTCATGGTGGTATTCACCTGTCACTCGGGGGTTAATTTTTGTTTGCTTGAAATGTAAAGTTTTGTACATGATTATCTGAAAGGCATCACAGATGGCACAGAAATTCAGAGAGTAACAGACGGTGATGTCATAACTATCTCTAAGCGAATTACGACACTGGAGATGAAGGAACTTAATGAGCGACAAAGAGCTGAACATTCTGTCCGGATGTATGAACAACAGAAGAAAGTACTTCAGGGTCTGGATGACCGCAATAAAGACTTGGAAACCAAATTTTCAGAGGTGTGTTTTATGTCTAGTAAAATTTACTTCCCAAAAGAGGATTAATGTTGTACATGTTTGATAAGGAGTTTTGTTTTTTGTATCCCAGAAAGTTAAAATTTATTTAAAGACACATCAATCAACAGCTTTAATGATACAGTGGAACCCCCTTAATATCACATTCTATTTATCAGGGAGAAATGTGATAATAAGCAGAATGTGACTCGTCTAAACCTGGAAGTTAATTTTCTGATGTACAATGACCGATAATGAATCAAGTTCGAAAAGTAATGAATCAGTAGTTGAGATTGTTTCAAAGTTTTTTAGCCAAACTTCTGAAATATGAATGGAACCAAAAACCATTTCTTAAAATTTGATATTAGTATAATGGTTATCAAATAATGGCTATCTGTCGTCAAAGAAAAGTATGACAATGATCCTACTTTTGGTAAAATATTTTCTCTGAGTGGGGAGGGGGGGGCTTATTTTCAGTAAAATACGGCATTACAAATTTCTTGCACATAGTCGACGTATTGAAAGGAAATACATGTTGTTTTTTTAAAATTCCAGATCACCCAGTCGAACTTAGAGCTACAGAGAATTGAGAGGGACTTACGAGATGAGCTATCAAGTAAGACCACAATCAGGGCTCTTGTTGTCAGTCACAATTTTCTGTGGTTTTTGAAAACATTTTGTCACATAGCTCGCTTCACCAGATAGCCGAAGAAGGCATTTTTTTAATGATTTAAATTGTAAAGCCCATGGTTAATATACAGGTAATTACAGTAAAGTTTTTTTGTTGACTCTATCTCAAATAAGGAGCACTATGACCGTATGATTGAATATCATATCATTATGTTTTTTATCATATAAATAAATAGGATTTTTTTTATATCTTTCTTGTAATTTTTTTTTTTTTTTTTTGCATAATTAACTATGGATGATTTGAATTGAAATTAAGCACAAAAGTGATTTTATCGAAAGAGTTTTTTTCAACTGCATATTGATTTATTTAAATGAAGTTTAGAAAGTTCCTAAGAAATTAATTAGGCACTTGCTGATATTCCAGATGTGTATATTTATTTCAGAATCTGTGACTAAAGCAGTGAGTGATGCAGACAGAAAAAGGATTAGTCAGCTAGAGGAGATCGAGGTTACCCTCCGTAATGAGATCTCTAAACTCAAGGTCAGTGAGGAAGGTCAAGGTCAATTTCTTCACTTTCATAAGTAAAAGAAAATGTCATTTTTGCAAAAGCTCTGTTTGCATAATTTTTTCCCCTAAAATCAATATTGACTGATTAATAGAAAAGTTTCATAAAAAACGAATTGCAGGTTTAAAACTTTTTTTTTTTTCAGGAAGTCTGTGAAGTCGCTACATCCCAAGTGAAAACTCTGGAGACGTTACAACTGTCACGAGAGAAGGAAAATGTATCATTACGACAACAATTGCTAGACTTTCAGATGCAGAGTGATGAAAAAACAATCATAGGTTTGTATTGTCAAACATGTGATCAATACTTTTTATCTTTCCATTACTAGACAAAGTTTGATTGATACATATCTCCCTGAATTAGAGCTGTGATCAAAATTTTCTATAATCTTGTCTAGTTTGTAATCTTTTTTGTAGATTTTTTCATTAACTTGTTGTTACTCTTTTATCAGCCATCAAAACCCACATCTGAATTTTTTTTCCCGATTTGCCTTTTCACATTAAATCTATTGATTTATTTTAATTTGTTGTTCATTTCATTTTCTGTAAAATTACTATCTGTTATAATCTTGAGTATTTGTGAACAATTATACCTTACACTTGCTTTTTCTGGTCGGTAATTGCTTATTTTTTAACTTACGTTTTACCTCTAGGGAAGCTGCATCGACACATCGTCCAGTTACAAGTCAGTGAAGGGACATCCGTCCGCAGACTTGAGGAGGCCAATAAACGTGTAACAAAACTGGAAGCACAGATTCTTCGAATGGAGCAGAAACTTGATGATAAAAACCAGACCATGGTCCACAACAAGGCAGAGGCTCAAAACAAGGCTAAACACCTGAAACGTAATTTACAGGTAAATCTTGGACCAAAGGTTGTGATATGACATTGATGGGTAAATTTTAGGCCAGATATCTGAAATATAATCAACAGGTAAATCTTTGGATTCGAACTTGGACCCCTAGGTATGGAACCTCAGATGTTTTATGTTTTATAAATGTTTTAGAGTTTAATGTTGCTTTCAGAAGAATAATATAATACTGTCCATTTTCAATGTCCATACAGGAAATGCGTTTGCAGTTTGCTGGAGCCATCCCTCTGTCCAAACAGGAAAAATTCACAGTGAACATGAGAAAGCTTCATCAGGATAAAACCAACCTGGAACTGGAACTGAAACAGGTAAATTTTCTATTTTCAGGTTACTGTTTAAGATATTAAGAGATTTCTGTGTATTGAGAATCTTTCTTTACAGTTTTTATTCATGATCAAATGCTCGTTTCTGATTCTCTTTGGTTGAATACATTGGATTGTTAAGGTACCTACCAATATATGTTTGTTTCATGGGTCAGGCGCGAGAGAAAAGAGATGCAGTTGAGGACAAACTCGCTTCATTGGAACTTCAGCATCGAAGTCTCCAAGACTTGATAGCCACCATCAAGGACGGTCGTGGAGCAGCCAAGGTCGTGGAATGGCACAGCAAGATGGATGCTGTTAGATTGGAGGAGCTCAAACAGAAGCGACTCAATGTTAAACTACAGCAACAGGTACGAACAGAGACAAGGAAGGTTTTATTTTGAAAGCATGATCAAAAGTCATATTGGAGAAAAATACAGATACGCATGAATTGTAATCAATGTGAACAGAATTCAAGATTTGATACAACAGTAAACATTTTTTTTTTTTTTTTTTTCCTTTTCCCATCAGGTCCACTATCTGGAGGGGATGATACGCACCAGTGAGGCCACAACCTCTGACCTTGAAGGAGAAAATGTCAGACAAACTCAAGTATGTACAACAATCAAAATATTATGTCTGCTTAAATATCATTCCCACTGTCAGCTCTCCAACAGATCAAATTCTGTCAGTTCAACAGTCACTCCCACAGTCAGCTCTCCAACAGATCAAATTCTATCAGTTTAACAGTCACTCCCACAGTCAGCTTTCCACCAGATCAAATTCTGTCAGTTTAACAGTTACTCCCACAGTCAGCTCTCCAACAGATCAAATTCTGTCAGGTTAACCATCACTCCCACAGTCAGCTCTCCAACAGATCAAATTCTGTCAGTTTAACCATCACTCCCACAGTCAGCTCTCCAAACGATCAAATTCTGTCAGTTTAACCATCACTCCCACAGTCAGCTCTCCAACAGATCAAATTCTGTCAGTTTAACCATCACTCCCACAGTCAGCTCTCCAACAGATCAAATTCTGTCAGTTTAACTATCACTCCCACAGTCAGCTCTCCAACAGATCAAATTCTGTCAGTTTAACCATCACTCCCACAGTCAGCTCTCCAACAGATCAAATTCTGTCAGTTTAACTATCACTCCCACAGTCAGCTCTCCAACAGATCAAATTCTGTCAGGTTAACCATTACTACCACAGTCAGCTCTCCAACAGATCAAATTCTGTCAGTTTAACAGTCACTCCCACAGTCAGCTCTCCAACAGATCAAATTCTGTCAGTTTAACCATCACTCCCACAGTCAGCTCTCCAACAGATCAAATTCTGTCAGTTTAACCATCACTCCCACAGTCAGCTCTCCAACAGATCAAATTCTGTCAGTTTAACAGTCACTCCCACAGTCAGCTCTCCAACAGATCAAATTCTATCAGTTTAACAGTCACTCCCACAGTCAGCTTTCCACCAGATCAAATTCTGTCAGTTTAACAGTTACTCCCACAGTCAGCTCTCCAACAGATCAAATTCTGTCAGGTTAACCATCACTCCCACAGTCAGCTCTCCAACAGATCAAATTCTGTCAGGTTAACCATCACTCCCACAGTCAGCTCTCCAGCCGATCAAATTCTGTCTGTTTAACAGTCACTCCCACAGTCAGCTCTCCAACAGATCAAATTCTGTCAGTTTAACTATCACTCCCACAGTCAGCTCTCCAACAGATCAAATTCTGTCAGGTTAACCATTACTACCACAGTCAGCTCTCCAACAGATCAAATTCTGTCAGTTTAACAGTCAGCTCTCCAACAGATCAAATTCTGTCAGTTTAACATCACTCCCACAGTCAGCTCTCCAACAGACAAATTCTGTCAGTTTAACAGTTACTCCCACAGTCAGCTCTCCAACAGTCAGTCAGCTCTCCAACAGATCAAACCATTAACAGTCACTCCCACAGTCAGCTCTCCAACAGATCAAATTCTGTCAGTTTAACCATTACTACCACAGTCAGCTCTCCAACAGATCAAATTCTGTCAGTTTAACCATAACTCCCACAGTCAGCTCTCCAGCCGATCAAATTCTGTCAGTTTAACCATTACTACCAGAGTCAGCTCTCCAACAGATCAAATTCTGTCAGTTTAACCATCACTCCCACAGTCAGCTCTCCAGCTGATCATATTCTGTCAGGTTAACCATCACTCCCACAGTCAGCTCTCCAACAGATCAAATTCTGTCAGTTTAACAGTCACTCCCACAGTCAGCTCTCCAACAGATCAAATTCTGTCAGTTTAACCATTACTACCACAGTCAGCTCTCCAACAGATCAAATTCTGTCAGTTTAACAGTCACTCCAAAGTCAGCACTCCAACAGATCAAAATCTGTCAGTTTAACCATTACTACCACAGTCAGCTCTCCAACAGATCAAATTCTGTCATCAGCTCTCCAACAGATCAAATCAGTTTAACCATTCTGCTCTCAGGTTTAACCATCACTCCCACAGTCAGCTCTCCAACAGATCAAATGTCAGTTTAACATCACTCAGTCAGCTCTAAAACAGGTTAACCATCACTCCCACAGTCAGCTCTCCAACAGATCAAATTCTGTCAGTTTAACCATCACTCCCACAGTCAGCTCTCCAGCTGATCATATTCTGTCAGGTTAACCATCACTCCCACAGTCAGCTCTCCAACAGATCAAATTCTGTCTGTTAAAACTTCACTCCCACAGTCAGCTCTCCAACAGATCAAATTCTGTCAGTTTAAACATCACTCCCTTAGTCGAGACTGTACACCACATCAAATTAATCTTTAATTTTTCCATGATATATTCAAAGAGTACAAAGGAGATTCTTGGATTTTGAAAATAATATCAAGATGATACCACAATATTGGGAACACTCCAGATCTTTTAAAGAACTCAACAGCAGAATCTGATTACTTTGTGTACTGTAGAATCATTAATTTTAGTAGGAGATTTATTTTTAATGATTCTGTGAGTACACAAAATAGTACATGAGTCCCCAACTTTTAATTTTGTTGTCTTTGGTGAACAATAATGAAATATTTGTGATGAGTTTCATAAACCACATAATAAATGAAAATGGATTTAAAATTCTTTTCATTGCATAATTCAGGAAAATATTGTAGAAAATGGACATACCTACGTCAAATTTGAAGTCATTTCGCCTTTCTACCTATAATCTCCTTAGTTACATCTCAGTGTGTGACATCATCGTCATCAAAACCAGACATCACAAGAGATTATATTGCATGTAACACAACAATAAAATAATTGATAAACATCACCTGAATGGAAACGATATGTAACACAGCAGCTCTGTTGGATTACTTAAAATTAAGACGATCAAAGTTCAACCCAGGTGCAGTTGTTTTAGTAAGTCTAAGTATCAGTATTCTTCACGACAAGTCTGGAATGTTAGAGAGGGCGGGTGAGGCAACGACAGTCAAAATATTCTCTTTGGACGTTCTATCCACTATCTGTACTCCCCTTTCTCTTCTCTCTCTCTCCCACGTCGTTTTTATACTACCTGGTTTACCTTTTCATAGGGTATGGTCAAGCAATTGATTTTAGAGACATACTCTTTGTCTGCGGTCAATTTGTATACAACATTTAAGGGTCTAAGTATATGTAAACTTTGAGTGAATGATGGTCGGGCCTCCCAATAAATCTGATAGATAATAAACAGTATAAAGGATGACCATCGCCGTTTTGACCAGGGTCAGTTTCATAACCAGCATAATGCATCAGAATTCAAAGACAAAGTAATTTACAAACTGGAATGAATAATATTTGACCATCACTATTTGACCAGGAGCAGCATCCTGTGTCACCATCAAGGCACAGAGATATTAATTTTGCTATACATTAAACAGTAACTAACCCAGTACTTTTTCACACTGTTCAGATCTTATTTTGTTACATGTATGTATATTAATTTGAGGATTTTTTTTTCTCCAGTTCAAGCCCATTGAATTATATCACCAAGTAATCCCTTTGAAAATTGGCAAATGTATGGAGTCATGAAATATCATTATGGACTTTTGCATTTGAAATTATGATAAACAAAAAGTTAATTGTAGGAACTTGAGCAAGTCTATTTGAATTTAGCTCAATTTAAACTCTGTTGATTAACATAGTTGAAATTTTTGTCTGTATAATGACTTTTATTTGTGAGGTATGTTACATTTGTTGATTTATCATCCCATCTACAGCCAAGTTCATCTGTTCTAATGTGAAAAGATACATAGTTCATTATGTCATGAACGGAGATATATCTAAGTCCATGATTATATAGTTTCCCAAACATTAATTAATTGTGTGAATGCAATAAGATGAAGCACATATGAATGTATGAAATTGCTATTGAATATAGAAATATATTGAATAACTAAAGAAAAATTTAGATCCACAGTGAATATTTTTTTTAGAAATAATTAAATTCTTGATGTAAGTAAGTTTTTAATTAGTGTTTGTTGGTTAAGTAACATGATGTTATAAGTGTTTAAAGTAATCGAGGATGTTGTTGCACATTTTTAAAAAATTTATATTAAAAAAAAATTAAAAATATGTCGTGCCCCCAGTGAGAGTCGAACTCACGACCCCTGGTTTACGAGACCAGTGCTCTAACCACTGAGCTATAGGGGCATTGCATACCAGCGGAGGTCATTAAATACTGTATATTGGTGGGTCGGCTTTATTGACAACTCGCGGGATCATAAATGACATTGTTTAAAGACGTTTCATCGAAAAATCATATCATAATTTGAAGTATTCTGATTCTCGTAACATGGTCTAGTTACGTTACATTGCTTATACATATGTCTTTTCGCTTTAAGTTGATAAACACGTCGTGCAAAGTGTACAGTACACTGCCAGCGATCGATATGTTCTGTTGTCATGTAATTCTGGGGGCTATCTCCAAACCATATTGGTCTAAGCAAAGTTTGTGAATTAAAATAATTAGTTTATAAGTAAATCTGTGGTGTGATTTGGCTCAGATGGTATAATTGTATGGCCAAACAGTTTACAATAGATGATATAAGTTAGGTCAAGTATAAATTCAAAAGTTGACGTATGCTCTTAAGTCTCTGTATATTTCATTTTTGAGATGACCAATGTCACTGCGGACGTTTCATATCTGCATATTATTTCTATTTTGGAAGTTCAATTGACAACTATACTCGCAAACAACATTTCCCCCCAAAATAGTTCACATTGTAAAAAAGCTGACAACTCATAGGACCCACCAGATTTTAAAGAAATTCAAAACCAACATTTTCGGACTGAAAATGCTTTTAAGGTTTAAAGTCCCTCAGCTTTTCCGTTTGAAGATTTTTAAGATCTCTATTTTCCCCCATTTCTTCTTCAGAATGACATCACGTGCCAACTGATTAACTTTTTTAATTAGTTAATTAGATTTACACTATGTTGTGTTTACTGAATCTTCTCTGCTAATTAAGAAATTAATTATCTTTTAACAAATAAACTGTGTATTGACTACTGCTACAACACATCATTTTCATTCATGTGTATTTTTTTGGTCTATAATCTGTTTACTATCTCAGCACACTAATTTCGACCTTAGTGTACATAGGATTATAGTGCAGCCTAAAAAGTTCTTCAAATTTGTACCATCTTCACTACGTATGTCAGTGCAGAGACGTATATATATGTGTTATATACGTCTCTGGTCAGTGCTAGTACGCTCCACACTGGTTATTTGTCTGAAGTAGGTGACGGTATGGTCATTGAAACGCTGTGCTCTAATCTTCTAATTGTTGTGTTTTAAGAAATCTTTTTCTATTAACAGAAGAGACAGTTCAAGTTAAAAACCATTGTTAATGCACCTGTTTCAGGGTTTTCCATAAGAGCCGGTCGCTGGCCACTTTGACTGGCTACTTTGATCATTTGGCTGCCTACACCAATCCAGTTCTGTAATAATGTTCCGTACACGACTACACGTACACGGCAGGCCAGCCTCCTACTTTCACTACACAGCCTACTACTAACAAAATTATGGAAAACCCTGTGTTTAATATTATACAGAGATAATAGGAAGTGCTTGGTATATATTTATCCCAATTTCTTTCATTGTTTTTCAGTAGATATACTACATATGTAAGATTATTGCGTATAACCTTATGACCTTTGACGTTCGGAATTTAATGATATTTTCGTTGGCAAAACACTGTACTTTGTCTGTGAGACAATGCCGTGCGATGGGAAGGGTCACAGTCAGAAAGTAGAGTGTAAAGATTCTTAAGTTACAAATCATTAAAGATGTCTCCTTATTGATATCTGTAGAAGCTTTCCCCTTATTTTAAAGCCCTGACGTATTTTCATCCCCAAAGGCATTTGGATTAGGGAGAGAAATTATCCATGCAGAAATAAATAAATTATTTTTTGTGGTTAATTGTTTGTAGGAGTATGAAGAGAAACAGCTTCGCTGGGAACAGCGCGAGGTAGAACTGGAGAGAACTATCGCCAGACTAGAAGACCAGGTGTCACAAATCGCTGGAGCAGCTTCTAAGGTTAACCACAAGGAACTTAAACAACGATTTTAGATTTATAAAACAACGATCTTAGATTTATTATGTCAGCTGTGATCCAGTTTTAAATATATATACAGAATAAAAAAAAAATATTCGAGGTCTGTTGAACATATATGATTCTGTAAGTTATTTATTAGTTGATCGTTAAATGTCTTGGTGATTCAATGAATTTTTCTTCATTCTTGGTATTTCTTTGAATATATGATGTTTTGCCAAACAGTATTTTTTCTTGGTTATGACAGTTTGAAGAAGCAGTTGGTACCTTGCCAGATGCCAAATTACCTGTTGCAAATCAACTTGAAGAAGCCATATCAACTATCAGGGGAAATGTCAAGATCATACTCGACACCCAAGCTGAGAATAAGGCTCTTAAAAAGGTCAGAGGTCATGTCGTTTGTAAATAGAATTGTATGTATCATCATCACATCTTCATAAACCATCATACATGATCTGTTTTGGAGTTGTTTCCCTTCAGTGTTTTTACATTGGATATTCATTGTGTTTATTTAATTATACTGGTGGTCAAACTTTGCCATCTCCACAGATTTTCAAAGTTCAGGATTTATTCTAAATAAACTTTAAAATTACACAAATAATTGATTAAGATGTGGGACAATTTTCTTTGAAATATTCTCAGTCTGACATTTACCAGTTCATCTGAGTGAGGAAATATCAATTTGGGTCAGTAGATAAGGAAAAATATTTCATGTTTGACTGGGAAATAAATAATAGTGTGAAATCAACGTTTTGTTTGACCCAAGTCTCAAAACCATTCGTCATTCATTTGTCTTAGTGGTAGGGGTAGTAAGTGGCAAGTGTTTATGATATAGGAAAATCTCATGAAAAAGTCTAATGTGCAAGATTCGGAGAGATTCTGGAAACAAAAAAAAACATATGGGATTCATCCTAATATGATATCAGTGGAGGTGACTCTTTGTATCTGTAGGTCATTGCCAAAGTGATAATATTTTCAATTAAACCTAGTCTTCATTTTTCACCTTTTGTTGTCTTTAGAGAAATGCTGAACTTGAGAAACAGTTGCACGAGTCAGACAAGACAATCCTTGCTCGTGATAGACTTGTAGCTGATCTCCGACTTCGTCTGCCAGCGTCAGCAGACAGGGACGAAATGATTCTCAAAACCACCTCACAGATAACAGAGTCCATGGCCAAGCCTCAGAAAGACAAAGAGTATGAGAGCGAACAGTCCATTAGGATAGCCCAGTCGACCATTTCAAGTCTCCAGGTAAATTGAATTCTCAGATGCATTTACTATAGAAAGGAAATTCTCGTAAACTAATTTTTTTTTGTTTGCATTATAATTTCGCATATTTCGTTGCCAAACAAATTCGCAACAAGTTGTTACAGCAAAATTGTTAAAGTTATGATGGGAATTAAATACGACATATTATGTAATTATAAAGTGTAGTGCGCAGCTGCTAATTGCCATGAATCTGTTGAGATGCAGAAATCACTGTAAGTAATCACCACAAAAATAAGCAGTATCTGTTCAAGAACTTCTTAAAGTGGTGCTTGTAAATGTTTTCTGACGGAAATCGCCATATTTTTTTTCGGTCCTGAGGCTGTAGCTATTTTAAGTCAAGGGGGAAACCTAGAGAAATAATTTCACATAGCTCAGAGTTGACAGAGTTGTGAAGACTGCTTACTTGCACTGATATTACTCGTATACCTTCACAGAATAGAAAGAAACATATCTTGACATCTTTCTGTATATATATGTCAAAGTTTTGTCTGTTTTTTCATCATTCAGTTTTCTGGGTTAATTTCTCATGATCTGCATGCCATGACACTGATATTTTCTAACAACTTTTATTCAGCCTTCCAATTATTGCCTGAATTCTTACTTTAAGTATGGAGATGGAAATAAAATCGGCTATTTTCATCGATCTTTAATATTTTCTCTTCATTTCAATCGATAGTGAATTAGTACTACTTTGACAAAAATATTCTACCAGGAACTGAGAATGTTAGTCATGTAAAAGATGATGATAGGATTAACTGTGTTGCAGGTGTCAGTCATCACAAAGTCAAAACTCTGTCCTAGGTATTATTCTTCACAAAGTCAAAACTCTGTCCTAGGTATTATTCTTCACAAAGTCAAAACTCTGTCCTAGGTATTATTCTTCACAAAGTCAAAACTCTGTCACTGGTGTTAGTCATCACAAAGTCAAAACTCTGTCACAGGTATTAGTCATCACAAAGTCAAAACTCTGTCACAGGTGTTAGTCATCACAAAGTCAAAACTCTGTCATAGGTATTATTCTTCACGAAGTCAAAACCCTGTCACAGGTGTTAGTCATCACAAAGTCAAAACTCTGTCACAGGTATTAGTTTTCACAATGTCAAAACTCTGTCACAGACCTTTCACGAAGGTGATCAAGGTTTGATTCCCAGGTCCAATGTGAAAATATGTGCTGACACCTGCCTGACCAAGTTCTCGCATTTCCATTTATGATTTAGTTTTCCATTAATATATTTTGAACTTCAAGAAGGATATTAAAACTCTTGAAAATGCTGTCTTTCACATTATTGCAGGCAAGACTTCAACAAAAGGAGGAGACTATAGCTAAATATCAGGAGCTTCTAAAGCAGGCACGTGAGGACATGATGGAGATGAATCGTCGCCATGACAAGGATCTGAAGGACATGCAGCAAAAGCTTCATCTCAACACAGACACAGCCTTCAACAAGTTCAAGGACGCAGCACGTGACCTGATGGCGAAACAACTTGCCCATCCCATGTCTAGTAAACAGGTAAAAGAATATCAGTGGGTAACATATGTACTTAATAAAACATTGATAGTAGGACATTTTTTTTCTTCTGATTTTTTCCTCTGCTGACTTGGACAAGAAAAAGCAAGTTTATAGAAATAAAGGACTTAGGAAAGGATTGATTACATGAAACCAAATGCTATGGTGGCTAAGTGGTTTAAGCACCTGATTGTCTGAATTTATTACTAGCCATCCACCTTGTGGTCGCAGGTTAGAGACTTACGTAGGGCAGTTGCCCGGTACTACCCACCTAAACCTGGCACATCCTTAAATCACTCTGGCATGTGTACAAGAATATGAGGGACACAGATCTTTCATAATGATTTCACTTTTCTCTGACCATAGCTTGCTCGTTTGAATGAGCTTGAGGAGCACTTGGCAGATCAGGACAATGCAATGGCAGCCATGAGTGAGAAAATCCGTCAGAGAGATGAAGAGATTGCCAGTCTGAGGTCACGACTACAAATTGATTCTCGCAGTCACAATGTGGAGAGGGAAAGGTAGGCACCCACAAATTCCAGTGTTTTATTTTGTTTTCTGCAGTTTCAAAAAAAAAAAAAACATACAAGAAATAAATCATTATTTGAAAATCCAGTTGTTACTTTTGTATAGAAAATCTCTGTATTGGGTAAAGTTTTTTGTTACATAAGTTGTCTCCCCTTTTTTTAAAATAAAACCATTTCCTGCTGATATGATAGGATGACGGAGGAGACAAAGACGGAGATTCAGACTAGGGAGCGTGAGGTGACAGAGTGTCATCGCCAAATAGAACACCACAAGAAAGAAGCAGACTTGCTTCGGGAAGAGATTGAGGCCCTTAAGGAACAAAATAACAGGGCACCCACGACTACCATGAAAAATCTTGTTGATAGACTTAAAAACCAACTAGCCCTCAAAGAAAAACAACATCAGGTATAACTGCTTTGCTTTTGGAAAAAATAATGCCAAATTAGCTGACATTGGACATTTTTACATAAATCAATAATTTCATAATTGTTTGGGGTTTAAGAACAACTCTGAATTTTAAGGGTGGGTTTCTGTTCATTGACTCAACATCATGGTATCGATATATTCTTGTTTATTATTGTAGGCCCTGAGTAAAGCCCTGACAGAGTTGAGGGCAGATATGGTCCAGCAGGCACAGGAGACCGTTACTCAACAAGCTCAGGAATCTGCTCAGGAAACCAACATTCAAAAAATCATTGATTCACATACCAAAGAAATGGCTGTAAGTTGTCTCCCTTGAATTTTTGTAGAAATCCCTACATTTTACTAATAATTTATCACAATACACATACACCTCTGCAAGAGATGATGTACAGTAGTTGTCACTTTCATTTTCCCAAATGTCTAAATATAACACCCACTTTTCTTATTATGATTTATATATGTAAATATGGTTAGAAAATATTGGAAAATGCATTAAAAGCATGTTGAAATAAGCTTTGAAGGATTAATTAATCACTATTTATGGATCATATTAATAAATGAATGATAAAGTTGTTATTTTTGTAATATTAGGACCAGATTGAAGATCTGCAAAATGAAGGGGATAGACTGAAAAAGGAAGTAAGGAAAAGGAAAGAACAGGAGTCAAACCTTCAGACAGAATTAGATGATATCCGCGAGGAAATGTGTAAGGATGAAATTTCATCACTTAACATGCCACATAATTTATGCATCCATGAAATAAGAATGCTGATGATATTTCACCAAGAGATCAATTTAACAATTTACATTGCTTATACATATATATTCAAATTACATATCACAGTATGTATAATATAGGTAGGGATGGGAAATTTGTTGAAGATTTTACACTCTTTTCCAGTTGTTACCTAAATTTAAACTTCATAAATTTATTGAAGAAAAATACACATAAAATTTCTGTCTAAGAAAAGCATTTAAGGAAATTCCATGTTGTTGGTTTTGGATTTCATGGTAATAGAAAACAGTTGTTAAATAGTTATTCAAATGTATCATCAAAATCTTTTGATTTCAGCAAGAAAAGATCGTAATTTACATAGAGTCAAGGGAGATAAGCATCGCCTGGAACAGGAAGTTGAAGAGCTTGAAAAGAAAGTTGAGCGTATGAGTACAATGAAAACACAGGTGAGTTTAAAGATAAGAAATTTCTGGAACTTTTAATCGATAAAATCATTCAAATTGGATGATATTTTAAGACTTTGAACAAATTGGATACAGAATGAACTCATAAATTGTGAAATTGTGCCAAGCATGATATTAGACATGTATTCAAAGACAACAAAATCTTATTTAAAGCATCATATTCATCTAGACATGCACATTGAATCAGTATTATCAGGAGCATGTCGCACAACAAACAAATTTATTTTGGTGTGAAATCAAAAGAAATGTTGACAAATGTTTGCCTGTATACTAGATAGTAAGAAAAGGTTTCTTTCTACCTTTCATTTGGTGATTTAACACATAAGATTTTTCAAAAATAAAAAAAACAGAAGATCAGTTTTGCAGAGACTTGTGTAACTCCAGTGAGAATTTTAAAACATCTCTTAAAGCCTATAACACTACAATATTTCTAACTTCTTGAATGAATGATAGCGGGACATTTGGTTTGCTCTAACACAGATTGTTCCTGTCTGATCTTCATCATGATACAGTATTTTTTTATATACACTGCAGGTATCCTGTTACCTTTTTCAGACAAATGATTAATGTGTGGATACAAAAAAGTTCAAAATAGATAGAATGAATTTGAAAATTGAACTCTGGTATAGTTTCAGTTTGTACATATACATGTCAGAATGATAATACAGTTGGTGAATGTTTAAAAACACGAAAAAAATTTGGTAAAAAAAGCTGAAGTGAGCCATTTAAGGTGGATGGATTTGTTATGAAATGAAGTTAAATGTCACCTTTGTGTAGAAAATATCTCACAGTAGTTTCTTTATCTTTCCATGTTTAACAGAAATCGGGAGACAATGCAAGGCAACAAGAATACGATGAAATGAGACGCAGAGTAAGACTTTTAGAAGATGAGTTGAAACGTAAGCAGCAGCAACCAGAAAAACCATACGAACGTCAGAAAGAGGCTCCTGCACCTCCAAAAGTTACACCAAGAGAAAAGGTAATTTCATTGAAAGCTCAAGGTTATTCCAAACAAATGAAAACCTCACTGTTTCTCAAGAAGAAAATGTTTCCAAAGTTATCAATATTTTCAGTTTTTACCTTGGCAGTGGAAAATGTATTCTGATGCCCTGCTATTTCATGATCAGAAGTATTGTTGTTTGCTTTAGATGGGTACAGACATCAAATTGTAACTTTTTTAGTTGCATCCAAAATAATATGCAGGTCATGTTCTGATTCAATTATGAATTTTTCTACAGTTATGGCCTTTAAAAAATCAAAATTTTATTTAAATTTTCTTCACTAAAATAGTATTAATAGCAGAAAATTGGAGACTTGGCTAATTCATGGCTACATTTTTAAAACACCTATTACTGAAGTGAATAACACTTCAAAGCTCCGAACTTCTCCCAGTTGTAGATTGAGTCATTAGTAACTGTGACTCATCTTGTCCAAGTCTTATGCCTTAGCTGAAATCAGGATCAAAACAGTTTTACTCACCTTTTTGTTGTTATACTTTATGTTAGTGGCTGTAGAACTTGTTCCTGGTGTAGTTGTTGTTCTATTTATAGCTTTGCTATTTTCCTTATGGAGTTGCATTTTGATCAAAGCAATTAAGATTCATCACACATTTTACTTTTTTAATTTTTGCTCCAGATTCTTCAGATTAAATTGTTTTTTGCACTTCAGGATTTGTATAAATGCCTGAGTTGTGATCAGCTTTATTTTCATTGATTTAAAAGTAAAAGCATAAAACAAGTACATATTTTTGTGTTACGAATATTAGTAGTCTGTTAACTAGATTTAATTTTATACTTATTTTAGGAATGTTCCTTCTTTGTTTGAAAATTTTAAGTTTGAATTTTTTGTAAAACATAAATTTAAGTCGGATGAAATGATCAAATGGGAAGAAAGTAAGAAATGGCAAAAGACAGTTGAGAAGATGAAAGGAAAAGTTCGGGAGAAAGAAGCAGAGGTTGAAAAGATGCAAAGGACATCACAAATGCTTAGAGATCAGCTGGACAGGTATTGTTACTGTTTTATCAAGTCATCAGGAAGTTCATGCTTGCTGATAAGCCCATTTTGTTTTATAGTTATGCACTTAGCCTTGATAATGACCCAGATGTTTCGTGTTTGGCCCCTCCTCTTTATATCTTGCTAAAGTGTTTACTGGTATAAATAAGTTCTTCGAAAAGCAATTTTCTAATTTCATTGCATTAGACTTTTTTTTTCTTAAATTTTTAAAATGTGTATCCCAGTTTGTAAAAGTTCATTAATTATAATATAATTAATTATTAATATACTATCTTCAAAAAAATGTATGCTGTGCTTCAGAGCCTTGCGTGAGAAAGAAAGCCTAGAGAGGAAAATTTTCAACCTCCAGAGGGCAGCAGCTGCACCATCAGGACCTGCGGGGCCATCAGGCAAACACGGCAAGGCTGATCATGAGATGGAGGCTCTCCGCACCAAAAATTTCCATCTCCAAGAAGAGGTAAGCAACAAAAAAAATATGATGAAAAATTGTCTAAAAAGAGGACAAAAAGATTTTTAAGAATATGTTAATAATACAATTAAATAAGCTCTCCCTACATTTCAAAAAATAACTATTTTGTGATATCTTCATCATCAATTAATTTAATGTTTTTAGGTGATAAGGGTTTCTTCTCAATTTTTTCAGGTTTCTAGTCTCCGTCAACAACTTGCTTTGGGCAAAGATGCTGCTTTCCAGGAACTGCAGGTAAAAAACACTTACCTTGCCCAGCAGCTGGAGCAGATGGAGCAAGTTGTTGCCCACAAGTCTTCCGTCGCCTTTACAGTAAGTTTCAGCCAGATCCTATTTCTTTCAATGATAAATAGGAGTGCTTGTGTCACTGATTTATTTACTGTTAGTATCCATAGGCTTTCATATTGACTATAATTGCCAGTTGATAACAATCAAATATTAAGATATCCAATCAGATGTTTTTTAAAACAAATTTGCTTTTATCTAGTAGAATGTTACCATATTTTCTGGCCTATAAGCTGCAGCTTTTTCACTCATGAGTCGGGCGTGTTGCTAATTTGTCAGTGCCGCTCATATGTGAACAAAACCAAAAAAATCAGAAGAATGGGGAAGAAAATGTAGTACCAGTACAAGACATCATAAACTGGTTTTTACAAGTACCACATATTTGTAACTGAGATAAATCATGTGGAACCAATTGCAATCCTATACTATTTGATCATTAAGATGGAAATAACTGTATTTATCCAATATTTTTTTATTTGAAGAATACTGTAAAATCGTCAATTTTTAAGGAAGAATTAATTTTGTTGATTCCATTGGCACTCTAAATCCACAAATTTTTATGTTCATGAAATGATACATACATAAAAATTGACATAGAGTGTAGGACAAGTACATGGTGGTAGGGTAGGTTAGTGGCAATGCACTCGTTTCTCACCTTGCCATCCGGGGTTTGATGTGAAAAGGTAAGGGGTCACCTACTTGATCAAATGGGTTTTCTCCAGGTAGTCCAGTTTCCTCCCACTATAAGGACCCTTGTACCCTTACATCCGTGCCAACAAGAGTGATTAGTATAAGTTGAAATAGCTTGTTTCGCAATTGTTGTAAACTAAATAAAGTTTATATTTACATGTATAAATGAATATTGTGATCAAGATTCATCTACAAAATAAAATGAGCAAAAAATTTCTGTAAAACCACAAAATTTTTGAGTCCCACAAAAAAGTCTGATTTTGCATTATTAGACAATTCATTTGTCAGGAAATGTCAGCGATCAGTGTTATTATGATGACAACCGTTTAAATCATGACATTCATGGGGATATGAATACTGTCAGAATCAGGGTGATATGATAGTGTTGCCTTCACTATATTGATGTATCCTTTAGGAGCCTGGACAGACCGCCTCCCCCTTTGGTGCCAAAGAGTACCAGGATTTGTTTGAGAAAAACCAGAACCTGCAGCGACAAGTTCTGACCCTGTCAGAGGAAAATATTGAACTCAAGTTTGAATCTGAACAGTTGAGAAAGGATACACCTAGACTCAAGGTAAACTAAACCCATGAAAAAACGTGTTGCACCTTCTTTTTCTAGAACTCTTCAGGATTTAAGTTTTTGTCTGTTGCCTTGACTACACAAGGCTATTTTGGTTAACTTTCAAGCAGTCAGTTGATCCCTCTATACATCCATATTTATTTCACACAGAAGTACAAACTGTCTATACACCTCACACAGGATTACAAACTGTCTGTAGACCTCACACAGGAGTACAAACTGTCTATAGACCTCACACAGGAGTACAAACTGTCTATAGACCTCACACAGGAGTACAAACTGTCTGTAGACCTCACACAGGAGTACAAACTGTCTATAGACCTTACACATGGGTACAAACTGTCTGTGGACCTTACACAGGAGTACAAACTGTCTATAGACCTCACACAGGAGTACAAACTGTCTATAGACCTTACACTTGGGTACAAATTGTCTATAGACCTCACACAGGAGTACAAACGGTCTATAGACCTCACACAGGGGTACAAACGGTCTATAGACCTCACACAGGAGTACAAACTGTCTATAGACCTCACACAGGAGTACAAACTGTCTATAGACCTCACACAGGAGTACAAACGGTCTATAGACCTCACACAGGAGTACCAACGGTCTAAAGACCTCACACAGGAGTACAAACGGTCTATAGACCTCACACAGGGGTACAAACTGTCTACAGACCTCACACAGGGGTACAAACTGTCTATAGACCTCACACAGGAGTACAAACTGTCTATAGACCTCACACAGGAGTACAAACGGTCTATAGACCTCACACAGGAGTACCAACGGTCTAAAGACCTCACACAGGAGTACAAACGGTCTATAGACCTCACACAGGGGTACAAACTGTCTACAGACCTCACACAGGGGTACAAACTGTCTACAGACCTCACACAGGGGTACAAACTGTCTATAGACCTCACACAGGAGTACAAACTGTCTATAGACCTCACACAGGAGTACAAACTGTCTATAGACCTCACACAGGAGTACAAACTGTCTATAGACCTCACACAGGAGTACAAACTGTCTATAGACCTCACACAGTAGTACAAACTGTCTATAGACCTCACACAGGAGTACAAACTGTCTGTAGACCTCACACAGGAGTACAAACTGTCTGTAGACCTCACACAGGAGTACAAACTGTCTGTAGACCTCACACAGGAGTACAAACGGTCTATAGACCTCACACAGGAGTACAAACGGTCTATAGACCTCACACAGGAGTACAAACTGTCTATAGACCTCACACAGGAGTACAAACTGTCTATAGACCTCACACAGGAGTACAAACGGTCTATAGACCTCACACAGGAGTACAAACTGTCTATAGACCTCACACAGGAGTACAAACGGTCTATAGACCGCACACAGGAGTACAAACTATCTATAGACCTCACACATGGGTACAAACTGTCTGTGGACCTTACACAGGAGTACAAACTGTCTATAGACCTCACTCAGGGGTACAAACTGTCTGTGGACCTTACACAGGAGTACAAACTGTCTATAGACCTCACTCAGGGTTACAAACTGTCTGTGGACCTCACACAGGAGTACAAACTGTCTATAGACCTTATGTTTATGGAAAAAAGAAATCAGAAAGTCAAGTATTGAGATCTTAACCAAAGTTTGGGGATGTACTTATTGGTAATAAGGCAATTAGATAAGTAGCAGTTGGTAGTGTTTCTATAGGAACTGTATTAGTCAGGCTCAGTACTAGGTATCGATGGATAAATATTGTTCATTTATACAACAATGTATATCTTCCTTAATTCTGTTTCTTTTTAGGAAAGAATCAAAGATCTACAGAAATACGTGGAAGCTTTGAAGTTAGAGAACTCCCAGCTAGGTGGCAACAGCACAACTCGGTCCTTAGATTCTTCTGGTTCAAGTGGTGTGCGAAGGGTAAGTCACCAGAGCAACTGCAAAAAAAGAGAGACGACCCAGTGTACTGATCCATATAAGATGAATGGTTTTTTTTTTCTATTTTGAGTTTATTTGTTGGTCTGTTATTGTTTTGTTTACTTTTAAAAGGATGTGGTATAATCAGAGCCCTTGGATATGTTCTCTAATAAGTTTTTGAAAATTAACTTTTCTTTTGAAAGTAAAAGAAGTTGTGTGTTTACTGACAGGCCAATAATAGAAACTAAATAGAAAGTAACTATGGATAACGAGATTGGAACAGATTCCCATCGGTATTATTGAGTGAAAGGGACCTTTGTTCATTCAGATTGGAGACAGTGGTAAGAGTACACGTGAACTGGAAAAAACTGTTGCACTTCTCAAGAAGGTGGTAGAACGTGTTCAGGCGGAGAATGAACAACTCAAACGTGGATCCAACGCCACAACACAACTTACCAGTCTCAAACTGGAGAATGATGGACTAAAGGTAACATTGCTGCACTGACATCTTAAACATAACCCAACTATTCCTTCAGTCCAATGTATCTTTATTCAGAATGAACTGCCATGATGGTGGTTTTCTGTCCTTTGTTAAACTCAACCCCTTCTGGTATGTCATCAGTCTTTTCTGAACCATCTCTGCACTTGTATCGTACATTCATCCTTTCATACTCCATCTGTCACTTGCTGTAATGGTGATCAGCTGATTTTGTAAATTTCAACATTGTAAGTAGATTTGTAACATATTTTGTGATGGTCCATTAAAATGATTCATTCAAGCTTCTTTTGTAAGTGTATCTGTCTTTGTATGATGAAACTTACCTATGGTGGTGGGGGATGAGGGAGGGATATGGCTATTTATGAATTGCTTTGTATGTGCCAGTGTCCATGGTAAACATGTGTCAGCCTTGACAACTTTGATTCTGTGGAAGGGCATGGGTATACATAGTATCTACGGGAGACCTGAAGGGAGAGCATATAGATGCTGCTTTGTCTGTCTGTCTGTCTGTCTGTCTGTCTGTCTGTCT